CAGCTGTCTTACTATTTTACATATGTTCCCCGCCTGTCTGCTTGTCTGTGAACTACTCCTACACCGTTAGGAGCTGAGGAACCAAAACCGTCACATGGGTACATCTTAGGCCCCTGAAGGATCTTACCTGATATTATGACGTCATCGTGTTGCCTAGCAGCCCCCTACCAAGCAGCAGTTTAGTAGTTATACACCTATAAAAGAAACTTAGCATCTTAATTTCAGTACAGTAAAATCAAATTATATGCACAAATGTTGAATATTATAATGAATATATTATGGTCTGTGATCATGTTGTCTGGCAGCTTCCCAGTGACAGACTGAAATGACAGTAAAGCAGGACCTGAACATTGCAGAAGACCCACAAAATGTAATTTCTATAATTTGCCTATGCTTTATTAGATATCCTAACAGGGTCAAGCAACAATATTTAGCAAAAGGAAAGGGTTTTCATTCTACTGCAGCACCACGATGGTAACAGTGGTGCAGCACCACAACAGTCAAAAGTTTACTGACGCTTTTGCACCAACATTTGTTTTACTAAAATTCAACCTTGCAAAAAAAAAACCTCAAAGCCATTTTTAATGTTAGCAATTGTTAAATATTATATTGAGCTGTGCATTGAAAAAGCTTGAGTACCAATGATGTGGAATTGCAGCGAGTATTATACTGACACATAATTTATTTTGGTGTTTCCTCAAAACAAAAACCTAATTTTCAGCTTGGTCGGATGGCTGGAAAGTGCATGTGCTTACTTGTTGGCTCAATTTATGTCATTTTGTCAATTTATGTTTGTTTGTAAAGCTCTGACTCACTCTTTCTTTCTACCGTGCTGCAGCAGCCACTCTTCTCCTTTATCAATTCAACTATTCAAATAATGGTTTAACCTTTCACCGTGGTGTTGAGACCTTTATTGTGTTTGAGCCAGCCATTACAATGCTGGCACAGGGACAACCACAGCAGGTTTCGAGGAAAAGAAAATGCCAGATAAATGCCAGACAAACAGAAAAAAAGGAAACATGGCCAGATTTGTATTTGTTGTACAATCTTTTAGTTACCTTCATGTAAAGTTTAACCAAACCTGCTCCAGTTTCAAGTACATTAACTGGGTGTACAATTTTCAATCCAGAGACCAAAAATTCAATATTGTTCATCTAATTCTAACCTTTAAAGAAAAAAATCTGCAGCTAGCTGCAAATCTTGGCAAACCCATCCTAGCTTTAAAATGGACCTATATGTAGTTCAGGCTATAGTAGCTGCATTACATAATGTGTATTGCAGAGTACTGGGTACATTTGCTTAATGGTTAAGACAGTTTTTAGAATTTATGGCTTTATTGACTGTCCAGGCAGTGTGGTTCTCATAAAAAATAAAAAGAATAAAAAACCATTTTTGCTAGATCAAGACAACTTTTATTCAGTGTCAATTAGGTACAGCATTTGCATGCATCACTGTAAACAAGATAATTTGGACATGTCTGGATGTAGACATGTCCATGGACACACTGATAAAAGGTGTGGGGATCCTCATCATTTACATACAGGCCATCTGGCTTTTCAGCGCAGAATCCACTTCCAGAAACAGGACTTGAGGTTGTTTTGGCAGTAGTAGCAGTAGTGGTAGTAGTAGCCGTAGTAGTGGTAGTAGCTGTTGGGCCAGGAGAGATCGTAGAGACGAGTGGTGGATGTGTGGTTACCGGTGGAGGTGGTGGAGAATCTAGTAAATACAGTAAGTACATATGTATATATATATATATATATACATATACATATACATATACATATATATATATATATATACAGTGGGGCAAAAAAGTATTTAGTCAGCCACCGATTGTGCAAGTTCCCCCACTTAAAATGATGACAGAGGTCAGTAATTTGCACCA